CCCTTTATAACACTTTAGTTACTGTAGGACTTTGTTGTTCTGCAGGATTTATCAGTTATTAAGAAAGCGGTTAACGTTTATGAATCGCCCGGTATATTTATGAATCACCCGGTATATTCATGAATCACCCGGTATATTCATGAATCACCCGGTATATTCATGAATCACCCGGTATATTCATGAATCACCCGGTATATTCATGAATCACCCGGTATATTCATGAATCACCCGGTATGTTTATGAATCACCCGGTATGTTTATGAATCTAGTGTTCTGATGCTAATAGAAGTAACGGATAAATCATAATAAAAACTCACCGATATATCTTTAAAAAGTTAATGTATATATCTTACCAGTAATAGTTTGGAAGAGCCAGAACGCTATGGTTGGTTTGAAGTCAGAACTGTAATTTAGAGAGAGAGAGAAAACAAAGTTAGACACATGCTACTGGGATAAATCATAACGTGACAGTGTTCTTACTAACAGGCCTATAATTACTGTTCCATCAAAGTTCATGTAACGATCTAACAACCGTTAGATATAAAAGGTATAATAGACCACTAACAGGTAGCCGCTCCAACATATTGGGATATTAGGAATTGGTACTTGACCCAACACATATGACCTTAGAAAGGTTGTTTAATACTGCCTGGTCAATCACGTGACGTATAGAGGGCTATTTATTTTTTCTTTTACAGTGACGTACGTACTTAATTTTTTTAAATATTTTGTTTAAACAATCCTGTTACTTTACACATACAAATTAAATGTTTCATAGGTTTTTTCCTTTCACCTAAATCCAACAAAATACCCGATTTGCTATAAATGACCACTTTAGCCACTAGAGTGTTTGGTTTGAAAGTGATCACACATTTTCCTTTAGTCCATATTTTTGTCATAAAAAAAACAATAAAACGCATGAGTATCTTATTTCCCAAATATTGAGAAACGACGTGCAAGGACTCGTGCCAAGTCTCGCGAAATAAATTCAGTTACATCGTATTGTGAAATCATTAATGCAGACATTACTGGCTGAAGGTCAAGGTCGTGAGGATGAACATACTGGTTTATCGTGAATTACTTACTCAAACTGCATCTCCTTTGTCAGACATCGAAGATGTTCAACTGGTTGCGTGGACACGTGGTAGAAGTTGATACAATGTCCGATTGTGTGAATTACTGAAGATGTAAAAAAAACAAACAAAAGTACAGGGAAAGTTGGAAACATAAGGTAACAAATCAAATTATCTTATAAGAAACATAACGTAAATACTATATAAAGAGGTAAGAAACGCTGATTTAATAAACACACCGGTATAATAATGCGCAAATAATTATAGAATTAACTAAATAATAATATAGGCCCAGCTTGTCCTTCTCAAGAAATACAGTAAAACTGTATCTTGTATGACCGGGTTTAAAACGGCCCCCCTGAGGAGTCAAGGGTCACCAACAGCCGTAGAGACTAACTTGAAACAACATCATATTTACAAATAGTTTGGTGAAATCCCAATTCAATATTGGGCACGCTTTCTTTATTTTTAAGTATTTATGTTGCGTTGATGGAAGGATTTGGTTTCAGCAATAAATTTTAATTGATTGAAATTAATATAGTGGTTAGTTGTGTGAACATGCAACTCTGAAACCGATTGTTGAACTTCTATTGGACGACAGTAGTCTTCAGGTTTCTTTAATCTACACGACTACATAACCACGAAATGTAATATGTACCCTGTCTGTGATGGAAAAACCGTATTTTTCTATATTTTGTTAAGTTTGTTCTGTGGCTCATAAACTGGTTTCATTTATTCCGTTTTAAAATAGCACCTATTTTTATTTGATATCAAGGGGTGTAGGGTTCGTTAGATATAGACGATCTCGTTATCTTTAGCTAGTTGGTACACTTTGTTATTGAACTATGTTGTTCAACAAAGTTCGGTTTAAACACTCAGAAACATTTTTGTGACAGTTTTGTTTCTGGTTTCCTATAGACGTCTGTGTTTAGCTTGCTGTCTGATCTTAGTGGAAATAAAACATCAAGAAAACAACTAGATAAGATATGAATCCAAGTTTCAAATGGACAGCAACTACCTGTTGTAGAAACCTACAATTTTTTTTATAAAACTGTTTAATGTTATCATAAACATGTTTTTTTTATATAGAAATCTGGTGTTCTTTTGTTGTTGTTTTTTACATCCAATTTATTGAAGAATTTAAAGTTATTCATGAAGAAAGAGAGGATAGCAACTTACCCGAGCTCAAGTTGTGATTTTGTTTAGAAAACCATATTGAACGAGAAATACGAGTTACCGACACATATATATTAACCAGCTGTGAAAGTTCATAGACGAGGTAGTAAATATATCATGTAATGTTATGTATAATGTGTTTAGAGCGCCATCTTTTAGTACTTTGATGAACAAGCTTTTTTGTGGCGGAGGACACAAAACGTTTATCATTCACTTTTTCGTTTTTTTAACTTGATAGATTATTTGAAATTGTTTTACAGAATATTTATGTAAATCCATTAGTAATGACAGTCTGCTGTCCTCTACCTACTTAACTAAATGACAATTAGGCTGAGGTTTGCAACATATTAAAGATTATACTTGTGAACCAGATTCGTTTAACGAAATCAGAAAACAAGTCTTATAAAGGGCCTGCAGAACAACAAAGTCCTACAATAAGTAAAGTGTTATAAAGAGCCTGAAGAACAACAAAGTCCTACAGTAATTAAAGTGTTATAAAGGGCCTGTAGAACAACAAAGCCCTACAATGACTAAAGTGTTATAAAGGGCCTGTAGAACAACAAAGCCCTACAATGACTAAAGTGTTATAAAGGGAATTGTGGTATTGAC